CAACGTTAGGAAATACCCCCAATTTCTTATCAAATACAGAGTTAATTGTGATGCTTTTATGTAACAATTTAGCCATTATCAGTTCCCTTGTACATATGCACTAGCTGTGTGTCAACCAATCAATACAATGAATCTATATTTCAGGGTTGTTGCTTGGCAAGACCAATTCAGTGGGCGCGATGTTTGAGATCTGGCTCAAGGAATCATTTCACCAATGCGCGCCCAAAATCACACAAGAAATCCGATAGGACAAGGCTCAAGATCAATTGGGACGCCGATGGTATTCACAACGACTAGGATTGTTTGGTTGAATTGTTGTTTATGTGGCAAAACAATGTTTTATGTCTCAAAACTTTTGTAGTTTATGCTTTAGTTTGTTCGATTTGTAGTTTATGCAATTGATTATTTTGCTAAATGCTAGGTGCAACAATATTTTGTAGTTTTAGGGTATAACTCGGAATTACAAAATCCGATCTAGGCATAAAGCCGGATTTCCTGAATCCGAGTTTTAAAGAAAATCGGATTTTGTAAATCCGATGTAGGACCTAAGTCGGATTTTCAGAATCCGATTTTGGCACTGTTCACTCCTAGGTCGGATTTTGGACCAAGGTCGGATTTTGGTGAAACTTTGCAACCAATTTCACAACTCTCTATCCAAGGTCGGATTTCTAAAATCCGAACTTTTTACTTATTGAATAAATCGGATTTTCAGAATCCGGTGTTTGACGACTATATATTCGGTTCACCAAAATTTGGGGGAGTCAAAATCGACTCCCCCTTCTTCTCCAACCCTAATCTTCTTGATTCCCTGTCGATTTCACCTCCCCTTCGCGATTTCCCCTCCCCGGCGATTTCCCCTTTCCGGCGATTTCCCCTCCCCAGCGACCTTCAGTAATTTGTCCCTTTATTTATTTTTTATTAGGTTTGACTGTGTGTGTGTGTGTGTGTTGCCGGTGACTGTGTGTGTGTGTGTGTGTGTTTCCCGGTGACTGTGTGTGTATGTGTGTGTGTTGCCGGTAACTGTGTGTGTGTGTGTTTCCCGGTGACTGTGTGTGTGTGTGTGTGTGTTTCCCGGTGGCTGTGTGTGTGTGTTGCCGGTGACTGTGTATGTGTGTGTGTGTGTTTCCCCATGACTGTGTGTGTGTGTGTGTGTGTTCCCGGTGACTGTGTGTGTGTGTGTGTGTTTCCTGGTGAGTGTGTGTGTGTGTGTGTTTCCCGGTGTGTGTGTGTGTGTGTGTGTGTGTGTGTGTGTTTCCCGGTGTGTGTGTGTGTGTGTGTGTTGCGGTGGTGTGTGTGTGTGTGTGTTCTTGGTGTGTGTGTGTGTGTGTGTGTTTCCCGGTGACTGTGTGTGTGTGTGTGTGTTTTCCGGTGACTCTGTGTGTGTGTGTGTATTTTCCGGTGACTCTGTGTGTGTGTGTGTGTTGCCGGTGACTGTGTGTGTGTGTGTGTTTCTCGGTGACTGTGTGTGTGTGTGTGTGTTGCCGGTGACTGTGTGTGCGTGTGTGTTTCCCGGTGACTCTTTGTGTGTGTGTGTGTGTGTGTGTGTGTGTGTGTGTGTTTGTGACTCTTGTGTGTTTGTGTATTGTTTGGTATTGATAAATGTTGATAGTATTTGGTATTATAGGATTAAAAAATGGAGGGTTCGAGCTCCTCGCAACCTACATTGCAACATTTTAATCTGACTCCAATAGATGACTCATTATTATACCTTTATGACCATCATAGGGCGAAAGCCATTTTCGAGAACCATGAGGCGTTTAGTAAAGCCCTTAAAGGTAGGAGATTTGATAGTCATTTTTGGACGTGTATAGAGAAACCATCCCGGCATTGCCCTCCACAAGTTATAGATGAGATAAAGCGGGTAGGCTTTGGGGGGGTGATCCAACTAGGTTATATCCAAGCGGACAATTGTTTGATCACCGCAATGGTTGAGAGGTGGAGGCCTGAAACTCATACCTTTCATTTTCATTTTGGCGATGCCACTATCACTCTAGAAGACGTTGAGGTGTTATTAGTTTTGAAAGTGGATGGTAAGCCTGTGGAGGGGATGACACCTGAGAATTCTATGGCACAGTGGATGGCGATGTGCTTTAGATTGTTGGGAATTACACCCGTTAGTGACATGTTTGATGGGAATAAGATTTATGCAGAGTGTTTAATCAACGAGTGTCTGGGTCCGATCCCAGAAAATGCCCCAAGAGAGGCCTATACACAGAGGGCCCGTGCATTACTTTTACTACTGATTGGAGGTTTCTTGATTCCTGACAATACGAGAAACAGAATACCGCTTTGGATCCTGACAATACTCGAGGATTTGGATGTCTGTGCTACCTACAGTTGGGCGTCAGCTGTGTTAGCGAAGTTGTACTTTGCTTTGTGTCAAGCTTCCGCGCTCGGGAAAAAACACATTACCGGATGTTATATGCTGATGCAGGTAAATTTTTTTGTTTCTTTGTTTATTTATATTTTTTAATGATATTTTTGTTTGATTTAAAATTTCAGTTATGGGTTTGGGAGCGTATCCCAAGACTTCATCCAAAGAGGAAGGTTAAAGATGAGAGTTACTTGGTGCCGGATGCACCACTAGGCAATAGGTAATTATAGATTTATTTTATCAATTTTTATTTCCTATTACCTCTCAATCCAATGATTTATTTTATTAATTTTTATTTCCTATTATGTCTCAATCGTAGGTGAAAATGCCCAAAATCCAAAGCGAACATCGCCGCTCATTGTGTTGCTGGCATCAGGGATCAGTTGTCTAGCCTAAGGGATGGGGATGTAAGTATTGATTTAAGTTGCTCGATAAAATTCCTTTTCATTTCTTTCTCTATTTTTTTAACCAATTTTTTAATTTTGGACAGTTTCTATGGACTCCATACACTCCCTTCATCAACGATCTCCCTGATTTCTGTAAAGAGGGGGTTCATTTCTACCTCTGTAGGACGTGGATCATTTGTTGGGCCATCAGAGAACCATACGAGCCCAATCGGGTCTTTCGTCAATTTCAATGAGTGCAAACTGTGCCAGAGTACCCGTTAATCAATGACATTGATCACTGGAATACACCACGGATGCCTTGGGACTGGAAAGGCATATGATGATTGGGTAAAAAAACACACTGAGGTACAACCTCATTGGAATGTGAGAGATCAGCACGTGGTCCCTCATGAATTGGTTGATCCGGAACTAGGTCCTCAATGCACATCGGACTACATGCCGTGGTTTCAAAAGAAGACTATCAGATTTATGACTGATCCCACTCAATACAGCCCTCTGGCATAGGGTTATCACTCGTCTTCATCTCTGGGGAGATTTTATGTAAGATATATGTCGATATTTTATTTTAAATTTTTTTTATATTTTAATTCTTGCTATATCTTATACTTTATTAACATGGTTCAATTTTCTGCAGTCTTCAAATCTCAGTGACATATATCATCTCACTGATGCAGCCTTACGGGAAAATCCAAGCCTCGGTGGTAGTCTAGAGGATAAACTCTTCCAAATCTTCGACAAGAGTTTCAGTGCCCTGACTTTGGGCCTACGTGATATGAGCACTCAGCCCGATACTCAAGTTCTTAATAAAAGACCCCCAGAGTCAAGTCAAAATGTGGTGCTCACGCAGAAAACAACATCGAAGCCTACTGGAGGAGGAAGGAGGAAGCGACCGGGAATTTCAGATCGAACAATCATAGTTCATCCCAATCCAACTCCGATGCAAGAAGATGATGAAGATGATGAAGGCAATGAAAGTGATGAGGATTACTACATTAGGGGCGAAGAAGAAGAAGAAGAAGAAGAAGAGTCCTCTCCACCTCGTGTTTCTTCCCAAAAGAAAAAGAAAACGGTCGAGGCTCGCAAGAGTGATAGGGTTAGTAAACCGGCCAAGAAGTATACTCCCGGCGACGGGGCTATAAGAAAGAAAAGGTTGTCAAAGTAATTCAATTGTAGGACTCTTTGATTTATAACTCTTTAATGTATAAATGTTGTAATTTGGATGATTTTGGGATTTAAATTTGTTAATGTTTGTTTTGATGTGTTTAGAATGTGTTTATAGGTAATTTTATGCGTGAAATTTGGTTTTGGTGCTGTTTTGATAGGTTGGGATTGGTTTAGAAACCAATAATTTATTTTTTTCAAAGTGTCTGTCCAAGGTCGGATTTCTTCTACTTGTTTTACTAAGAAATCGGATTTTGAGAATCCGAACTTAACTTACCCGGATTCTCAAAATCTGATTTAAGCATACCCAATTTCTGAAATCTGACCTTATACTAAAATCGGATTTTAAAATCCGACCTTGGTCAAAATTTTATTTCAAAAAAGAACTAAGTGTTTTTCTTGAAAATATTTTATTTTAATATGATAGGGTCGGATTTTAAAAATCCGGCCTACTCTTAATCTTGATTAATTTCATTAATTTTTTATATTAAGGGAAGGTCGGATTTTGAGAATCTGATTTAATTGGAAAATCAGATTTTAGGAATCCGATATCGGTATTTTTCTCTTCCCCAAAATTCGACCTATATTTATCTCTACTCCTTTTTTTGAACCATTTTTTAACTCAAAAACCTCGCAGCGATCCCCTAAGACACTGTGCATACACCCGGTACCGGGCAAGGACCTGTGAATCTCTCTACCAACGTACAGATATGGCAGCATATACTCTCTTCAAGCCATCCAAAACAGATTCCAAATAGGATCATGGGAGCGTGGCCTCTGCGCTAGCAGAGATGAATTGTCGTTTTGATCACGACACCAACTTCTTCAATTCACGCACAGTTTCTTCTAACTTCCAATGCGCTCATCTTGCTGGTCCCAAATCTGAATAAAGTCGCAGAGGTGTCCTTCCCATAAGTGTTCATTCCTCCAATAGTCAGACTGACAACGCCTTAGCACCAATCGCAGGGCTTGGAATTTGCCATCATACATGGAGCGAACCAATTCCCTCAACTGTTTCTCCTTTTCCTCTCGATCTTGATTCCCAACACATGGTGGATTCAGGAGACAGGAGACAGTTTGGTGATAATTTTCACGGTTACCATACCGTCGCCCACAGCACTGGCTGTACCTGACCTCTCCCCGATGGCAGTCCCCCCAACAAGGGGTAACGCACCAACAACCCCAACACCACCCACCAAAACAGGGGGATCAACAAGCACCACATCAGGAACGAATGGGCCATCTTCTTCCCCCAAAGGAGACAGCGCCTCCTTAAAGCGAGTGACTTCCTACACAACCAGGGGGATAGCAGTCAAAATTTTTCCCTTTAATCCAACAAGGAAAACAAATGCAATACAAAACAACCTAATTGTAGGATATAGTAGACCGGGTGGCAACAAAGCATGAAAGACAACCAGAAGTCAATAAGCAACAGAAACGTAAAAAAAAGAAGACGTTCATCAACCCCGAAAGTACTTCATTAAGTGGCATCCACTGGCGCCTACAGTATAAGTCAGAAACCGCCAGGATCAAAAGCTAACAAATACTTAGAGGATAATGCACTAATCTATACCTCTCCACCACCCTGGGGATACGAGTCGCCACCCTCCAAGGGGGGAGGGTTGTCTTCACCGTCATTGCCCACAGCGTCTGCACCTTCGCCCTGGCCTTCCGCCATCTCCACTTTACCACCCAGTGACCCGCTGCTGGAGGAAGAACTCTCATCATCCAAAGCATCACTAGGTGACATCGAAGGGGTCGCGATCCCAGTGGGCATGTCAAATAGGGGAGTGCGATCGCATTCCAAATCAAGGATACCTTGCGGGGATTCCACAGTCAGGCACACTCCTCGGATAGCCTTCATCATAGGGAGAGCATCAACATCGACGTCGCGGATGTAGGCGGGCGTATCCCTAGCCACTTTCTCCATCATCTGGCTCTTAGAGGAATAGTCCTCCCAAAACGGAGCCAGTCTCTCCTGGACAAAGATGGAATCCTCGCCATCCGAGTTGTAATGCTTCCGTACCTGCTTCAAAATATCATGGGCACTAACGCCACAAACAGAACCAAACATGTTGCCCACCCCAGCAATAAACTTATGCGACCCCAACACCTTCCTAACCCCAGCAGAGAAACGATCCCCCAACATCACCCGGGGAACTGAAGCTTTGACCACCACATCGCGACTCACCTTCGCAGCCTCCAAGCTGGTCTTCAACTGGGTCACCTCACCTTGAAGCGCAACAATAAAACTAGCATGCACGCTGTCCTTTTCTGCCAATTCTTTCCACCGCGCCGCGTTCTCAGCACGAAGTGCAATTTTCTCGGCATTCAACTCGGCAGAGCACATTGCCCACTGAGCCAAACCAGCTATGCACTGCAGAAACATAACAAGACTTTGAGGTAACAATCACTCTAAATGAAACGATGACACAACAAAAACAGGCCACATACCTGGAGCATGGCATCCCTTGGTTCAATTGCCCCAATGACAGACCCTATCTACGAGCACACCACATTGGGTGCGTTGAGCTCCACCACTGCAGTGTCGCAGTTCCCACCAGACAATCCCGACGCACTAGCAGTACTCAACTGTAACCCCGCGACCCCGGCTACAACGGACAACACAGTGGGTTGCGCTCCGGTAGCAGCGACCAAGGTGTCTGGAACAACATGGGGGGAGTCCACCAACGTGTGAGAGGCCACACTACCAGACTTGGTCTTCTTACTTCCTCCAGCTTGCGACTGGCTATGTGAGGGCCCAAATTGGCTTCCTTCCCCTTGTTTCTTCCTTTTCCCCAATGCAGCGGCCTCGCCGATGTTCTCCATAGTCGCCATTGCAGATTTGGAATACAGATTCCTCTTACCCATTAAAAAAAGCTCTAACCTACAGAGGAGAAGAACAAGAGGCCAAGAGTTAGTATCAATCTGAGGAATACCTATACCATTGTCATAGATAAAGGTCCGTTTCGCCTGCACTTCCGTGTACGGCAGGACCCGACCGAAACTGATAATTTTCTTGATCTCTTCTTGGCGAGCCTTATAAGCCTGCCTATCATTGTAAGTCTAAGCGTCAATTATCAGGCTGGAATTCTAATCATCATACCATTGCGGGATCGCAATGGTGCCAGAGTTAACAAAGATGAAGGATTCTCTCCACTTTTCCCCTTTCATACTCCCACGCTTCTCCACTGCGATCAATGCATGGGACCCTGTAATGGGGTTGCACTGGAAGCTACACCACCCAGTATAGTTCTGGCACGATTCCGCCATCTTGAAAAAGAAACGAAACAAAAACATATCCGCCTTCACCCCCACTGTGTGGCAGATATGCAAAAATCCCAAAATAAAGGGGATCGCATTAGGGGACCACTGGGCAAGGGGCATCTCATAGGCCCGCATCAAAGCTGCCACAAAGGGAAGAAGGGGCAACTTCAGCCCTAACTCTAGGAACCAGAGGTGTATTGTAATCTTCCTCGGTGGCGGGAGATGGGCCCAGTCCCCACGACCAGGCGCCGACGCCTTCATCCCCTTTAAGCCGTACTTCTTCCTAATGACCTTCAAGTCGTCATCAGTCAACTCAGAAGTGATGGCGGTGACTGGAATCAGCCTCTTTGCATGAGGACCCATAACCAGACAGATGATAGATAACACACCACAAAAACAGAGAAAATGTGGGGGAAGGGAGAAATCAAAAAACTCTACACACCAAAGGCAAAGGCTCTGAGTGTCGCCAGAAGTTGTTTCTGACAGTGAGGAAAGATATGCACCAAAATGGAACTCCATGAATCTACCCTGAATTTCCTCTTAAAGGGTGGGGGGAGAGCGTGAGTGGGGAGATAAAGGGGCGAGTTTCGAAAAGACGTGCCCCATCAATAGGTGCACGTCAATTCAAACCGTCATTCGAGGCTCATCGCGGCCGTTCATAACGATTGGGCGGGAACTCACCCCAGTTGTCCGATGATGAGGCATCCCTCCGCCCACCATGAGATTTGGGGCAAAAGCGGGCCTCACCTGTCAGGGCCCATGTCGCAGGGGCCTGATTACTAGAGCCCAAGCCCAGACAGAATCTCAGGCCTTAGCCTCTAGTAGGGGCAATTGATGGGGCAATGCTATCCCATTGCCTTATTGGGCCTCAGCAACTATAACCTAAGAGCCACAAAAGCCCCATACAAGAGCCATGAGCACCCATGTGCACTCATGTGCTAGGAGAATATTCCATATTCCCTTTTTGGTCTATAAAAGGAGACACCCCAAAGCATTTCAGGGAGGTTCTTTCTCTATCTAGTTTTAGCACTTTAATACTTTCCTTCTCTCTCTAAGAGTTCTGACTTAAGCACCGGAGTGCTAACCCTATTTTGCAGGGTTTTTAGGTACTTTAGGCGTTGTCCCGTGGGCCAACCAAGGACCGCACCATCAGTATGGTATCAGAGTCATGTATAGGCTCGTAAAGTGAATGGATTTCCTTGTATGCAATTATGGCAAATGATATATCTCTAAAAAAAATATTATCCACAATTTCATTCAAATTCAAACTTATGGTTAGATAATGTATTGATTTGATTTGAACTTTAATAATATGATAAAATTAAAAAGACTCAACTAATGTGATTAATTAAGTGGTTATGAATGTTTAATTTTTTTTTCTTTTTTTTACTATCAATTTTAAATTTTACTAAAAATTAGGCCTTTTTATAGATGATCACAAACAAAATGAAACATGAATTTAGTATGGGCACTTTTTTTTGTAAAATTTGGCCGAGAATTTAATTTTTTTCTTAATGAATGGATTTTATTTATTATTATTTTTTTCAGATATTTGGCCGATAAATTTATTTTATTTTTTCGAAAAATCTGGCCGAGACTTTTTTTTCTTCTTAATGAATGAATTTATTTATTTATTTTTTGAAAAATCTGGCCTAGAATTTTATTTATTTATTTTTCTGAAAAATGTGGCCGAGAATATAGAATGGGGATTTTTTTCGGATTTTTAATTTTCTTTTATAGAATGGATTTTTTTTGAATTAATTGGGTTTGAATAAATCATGAATGTAACCATGATTTTGGGCTTTAGTTCGTTCATTACAGAAAAATATTGTTTCCAAATTAAGGTGAGTTTTTATTAAAAATATGAGAGCATTTAATACTAAAATTAATTAATTTCAATAATTATGATGATTGGGGTGATTTGATATTATTAATATGCTTCAAGGATTATTAGCGTAAATCAGAAACTATTTTTTCTCAAAATTTTGAATAATTGACATATAGGATTTTTGCTTAGTTGACACTCTAGAAATATGTTTTTGTTTTCTCCCTTTAATTTCTCTCTTAGTATAATACTATAGATTTTGTTTGTTGTTGCACTTTACTGATTACAAAATGAATACGTTGTTTTCCTATTTAAATTGATCATTTCAAATGCGATTGTGTTGAATCACATATTTCCATCTAAAATGAAAAAGTTTTGGAATATATATAGATAGTACTATGTTCATCTTGTATGACAGCGGTCATGAAGTAATCGGACTGATATGCGCCTTCCCCAAAATTGGATTTGATAGGTTTAGGTTTTGAGTAAAGGGAAAGAAAATACAAAGCATAACATTTGTATGATGAAGAGGAACTAGATCCTCTATATTAACTACAGAAATTCGCTACAGTTTATAATACATTTGATGGGTCAGAGTGGAGTACTTCAGCATTGTTTTTTTAACTTCCATATATATATACACACGATTAACACTTTCCTAGCAACAACCATAGATTAAAAAAAAAATTAGAAAAAATAGTTCAATTTATTATATTGTTTTAGCATAAAGCGGGCTATTTTTCTATGCGAATAGAGTATGGCCAGAGGATAGTTTAAGCGCTAGCATATATGGATTAGTGATGACAGAAAGAAATAGGAAATTAGTATTTGCTGCGTTGTTTGATAAAGTAAAAACAAAACGAAAATGATGCAAATTAATATAGATATGGAAATTCAAAGTAGATTATTTTATTGAGACAGATGAAATAATATATATATATATATATATATATATATTATGATGTTCATGTGGCTGTGATTGTGTAAGGCTGCAAGAACAACGAAAAATCCATTTGCCCATGGAGACAAGATGTTGCAGAGAATTTTTATAAGAGCTTGACCATGTTGGAATCTTAAAGGTCCAAAGATGGTAAGGTGTGAAAATCAAAACGATTTCGGTGTGGGGGGCGTGGGGGGTGGGTGGGGAGGGAGGGGGTAGGTAAAGGAGGAGGGTTGGCGAAAACGGCGACAGAAAATATGATGTTGTAACTTTGCAATAAACTCTACTATGGGAGGATTGAAGTTCAAGATTTGGATCCAGGCAGACAATTTGAGGTCGTGATGATGAAATACTCCATCTGTCCCTTTTTGCTTTATTTAATCTCAAAACTCAATGTAGAGTTTTTTTGGACAAAGTATTTAAATAATTTTATGAAGAAGCTTGGAAAAACAAAGCAGAAAATCATGCAAAATTTATTTACCCAATTCAAACATTTAATTTATAATATTCTAACAATGTTTCTGTATAATAATTATTACTCTCTTTATCTCAAAATTATTGTCCAGTTTGAGATTTTACTTTGTTATAATTTGAACTGAAAATAAAAATCCAAACTGGACAATAACTGTGGGACGAGGGGAGTATA